CAGTGTTTTTGTGATGATCCCTTTGGTTTAAATGAGTAGATTGTTAAGCCTCAGAACTACTAGTATTCATGATCATTTGTTTTGTTCTTTATCTGACCTTTTACCAGGAGAGTACTTCTTGACCATCATTCTTTTATGATAGGCTTTTAGCATTATAGATGCTTTTAGTGTATTTAGCATATATTCACACATTCTTTGGATTTATCATTATTTGCATCCTCTGAGACTGCTTTTCTTTGTCTTTTTTGTTCTAAAATTAACAGTTATTCTATTTCTTCTATTTTGTTTTTCCCTTTTCACTAGTTTCTAGAGTGATTTGGAGCTCAAGATCATGAACAAAAGAATACTGTGCAATTTCTTTGCTCCACCCACTTTTTCCCTACCAAATCTACACTGCCTATAGCATCCTTGCTAATTAAGAAATGAGATTTATTTTGTGATGTTTTTCATTCATAGATTATATAGAGTTATTCTTCAACTCTAATGGTAAACTGTTTGGTGATTTATTGACACTAAAGGCAGGATAATTATGGCACACCCAAGAAGAGTTTTTTATTGGTTTTTGCATTATGTGTGTGCATATACTTTAAAAAAATTTTTTTTTCAGTACATAATATTAAAAACCTGCCATGACTAGTCTTGTGCAGGAATCTTCCACGCATGAATAAGTGAGAGCTGTCTATATGTTAAATCTGTATAGAGTTGGCAAGTGACCTGTTGTCTTCCATCAACAGCTCTTGACCTGCAGCAGTGTGGCCTCACCAATGAAGGAGCAAAGGCTTTACTAAAAGCCCTTGAAACCAATAGAACTCTGGTTGTTCTGGATATAAGAAAAAATCCACTTGTTGGTATGTTTCCACAGTTTTTTAATTGATAAACAAATAGCAAAACAAAAAGAATTTGTTCGTGTATTGACAATTTTTAAAACCTAATGTGTTTACTTTCCTAATCTTACACTTTTTTTAATACAAAGTCTTGCCCTTGTGGAATTTACATTCTAGCGGAAGAGTTCAGGTAGAAATGAATAAACAGATAAGTAGTATAATTTTAGATAGAAAGTGCAAAAATACCTTAATATAAGGAGACTGAGGGGGGCAGGTAGGAACATTAGATAGGTTTTTCAGGGACAGCTTCACTGGAGAAGTGACATTTGAGTTCAGGAGACCTGAGTGAAGAGAGAGGCAAGCCATGGAA